ACATACACACACATACATACACACACAAACACACACACACAAACACACACATACACACACATACACACACATACATACACACATACACACACATACAAACACACACAAACACACACATACACACACATACATACACACACATACACACACATACAAACACACACAAACACACACATACACACACATACATACACACACATACACACACATACACACACAAACACACATACACACACAAACACACACAAAAACTCACACACATACATACACATACACACACATACACACACATACACACACAAACACACATACACACACAAACACACACAAAAACTCACACACATACACACACATACACACACATACACACATACACACACAAACACACATACACACACATACACAAACACACACACAAACTCACACACACAAACACACACATACACACACATACACACACAAACACACACACACACACACAAACACACACACACACACACAAACACACGCACGCACAGCATAAACAAAGCGTAATGAAAAGTCTCTGTCTACTGCTCAAACCTGTTTAATGTGCCATGCATGTTAACAAACTCAAGCAGTAAAACGTGTGTGGCTTTAGCCTGCTTTTATTTGACAAGAGAGTTTTACAGTAGTCCTCTAGCTATGATTCGACTCTCTCTCAGGACGTCAATAGAGTGATTTTGAGTGTGTTCTCGTTTTAGTCAGAGTCTTACGGCACTTGCAACTCAAATAAGGAATAGACAGGCCGAAGCGAAAAGCTGTTACTACTTGAGGGTAACGCACAAAGAGAAGAGGGTGAGTTTAATGATATGTGTATGATTGTGTGTGTGTGTGTGTGTGTGTGTGTGTGTGTGTGTGTGTGTGTGTGTGTGTGTGAGAGAGAGAGAGAGAGAGAGAGAGAGAGAGAGAGGGGAGAGAGAGAGAGAGAGAGAGAGAGAGAGAGAGAGAGTGAGTGTGTGTGTGTGTGTGTGTGTGTGTGTGTGTGTGCACGCGTGCGTGCGCATGCGTGTACCTGACTTTGCACGTATACACCCAATGCCAGCCTTCTTGATAGGCCAGCCAGTTGGATTAGTTCGTTTGTTTTTCTTTGAAGTTCCCGATTTTGGATTTCCTCTATTCTTTTAATTTCGGCTGACCATCGCTATCGAAGGCAGGAGCTGTGACTGTGATAGAAGCCAGAAAAGAACGTTTGTGGGCCACAAGACCTGCAATACCTTCCACACTGTTAAGACGTTGATTGGAAGTCTGACTTGGACCTGCAATACCTTGGTCATATAAGTGTCGACGATTAGAGGTGTTACTAGAGAGTAACTCACAAAGGAAACGTTGGAAGTCTGACTTTGATCGTCTAAAAGGAATGTCTGGTGTTGTGAGTTTGCTGGATAACGACCGACAGGCCTGAAATAACTTCATCAATCTCCGTGTGATCAGCTCTCTCTCGCTCCCTGGTGAGTAGATCTACGTATAGAAGAGTTATTACTGAAATTGTGTTGTTTCTTTTTACTCTTTTAAAAAGAAGTTTAGCTTACATTATAAGAGTTTTAATTAAGGCACTTGCATCTCATTTAAGTCATGTTCTTCTGCACAGTAGATTTGTAAATGGGCTGATTTATCAAAGTTATGCTCATTTAGTTCCGGAACAACATACGGGGAATTAACTGCTACTATTTCTTTCATTATTTTTACTATCGTCATTTTCTCTATTTCTTTTGTATAATTGTCGCTCTATTGTAAACTGCTATTTCTGGGGTGCCTTGATAGTCGAAGCAGACTTTGTGCTGTTGAGGCTAGAGAGGTGAGCAGAGTAAGTCTGATTCCCTGTTAGACTTCTCTGTTGACATTCACCTCCTAGGCGCTCATATAACCTTATGCAGTTGCGAGTGCCGTAAAACTTTACTTAAAGAAAAGTTGTTCCCACATCTCATCCGGACATTGGACATTGGGGATTGCCTTGTTAGTGAGACAACGTTCTGAGCCTTCGGCACACTGTGGTAGGGTGGCCAGTTCCTTTCCACGCCGCCTTTACTTCCCCAACTCGAAGTCAGGTATCCATTACTGCTAGGTGGGCAGGAAGGGGGGGGGGGATCCATGTCTGAACCGAGGCTCGAACCGTGACTTTCGACTTGGGAGACGAGCGCACCAACCGCTCCGCCACCGCACCAAAGATTCTCTACTGGCATACACGGTCTTTGACCGCACCGCACAAAACCTTCCTAAAATTAACAAAACCCAAAACAAAACAAAGAGATCGAGCTTATTGAAAGTTATTGGTTCCATGCGGGAATCAAATTGACGTTTCCTGAGGCCAAGACGATCACCCCAGCAGGCACGTCACAGCCTTTGAGGGGTTTTGTTGTTGTTTTTTTTTTGGGGGGGGGGGGGGTGCTATATTTTGGAAAACTTGACGTCCCATTTCTTGGATTTAATTAGTTGGAAGTTTAGCTGGAATAGTTGTAATGGTGACCGAGTTAATGCCCCTTAGATTGCTACTCGTTTTTCTTTTTTGGTTATAACCCTGTCTCTCTACGCCGTCGGGGGCGTAATGTGGGTTATTAAGATGTTTCTCTCTCTCTCT